AATGCATGACCTGATTTGGTCCTGCCTTTGGCATTGTCATGAGAACAGACCTCACACACCTAGAGAAGGTACAACACAGATGTGGGGCAGTTTTATGTCAGCTTGACGTAAGTCATGTGAGCCAATCTACAGTTCAAGTCCTTACTGATTTGGGCTACAGTGTAGTTTTCTGCAGTTCCCAAGGAAGGGTCTTAGAACCCTGACCTGCTATACCTAGTTCACCTTTATTTCTGCCAGTTTTGCCTTATCATCTTTGAAGTGCCATGAGTTCTGTAAGCATTTCAGATGCTTGCTTCCTCCTTGTAAATAGCCCATTCTTCCTTAGGTCATGTAGGGGTGTGTGTGTGTGTGTGTGTGTGTGTGTGTAATAGTGGGTATGTTCTGAGACATGTGCTGTGAGGTGTTCTCACTACTGTTGCCTGCCAGAATATTCCTGGGCTTCTGCATACATCATCCTCTTATAGTAATTTCACTTTAAACAGTTTTTTTTAACTTAAAACTACAGTTCTTTTTAAGATTTATTGTTTAGTTTTTGTTTCTCTGTTATGTATGAATGTATTCCATGTATACAAGTGCCTGTGTAGCCAGGAGAAGGCATGGATCCCTGGAGCTGGAGTTACAGGTGGCTGTGAGCTCCCACGTGCGTGCTCAGAAGCAGCCAGTCCACTCCCCACTGAGCATCCCCTGGCCCACCACAGGCATACACAGTGCACACACGCTCACACACAGCGTTTGGTATTTATCAGCAGCTGCCAGCTCTGATACTTTCCCTGTGGGCTGAAGTCCTATCCAGAATTCAACCTTCTATCTGGAAGAAAACTTTATCTATTTATGTTGTGTGTTTGTGTGCACAGTGAACATGCAGCAGTCAGAGGACAGCTTGCAGGAGTGGGTTTTCCCCGACCCTGTGGGTCCCAGGGATCAGTCAGGTTGTCAGCTTCATAGCAAGCACCTTTGCCTTCTGAGCCAGCTCACTGGCCCAGTTCACTTCTTTATAAAACAATTTCTAGTCTGCTATTACCCCTGTCCTGCCCATTTTAGTCTAACTCATAAGTTTTGCTGTTTACTAATAATTCCTACCTACTAAATTCACATAAAAATTTATGATTATTTAATGTATTTTTCTTTAGGTCTTCTGTATGTGTAGTCTGCATGTGTTTGTGCATGCATGTCCATGTGTAAGGATACATGTGTGTTCATATATGAGCATGTACATGTGTACAGTTGACATTGAGTGTCTTCCTTGATAATTCTCTACTGTGTTTATCAAGGCATGGTCTATTGCTGAACCTAGCTCCCCAGTTCCAACTAGTCTTCTGTCTGCCTCCCAAGTGTCAGGATTACAGGTGGGCTGCAGCGCCACCTTCCTGGGTTTTTCCGTGGGTCCTGAAGGTGCATTCTCAGGCTTTCAGGCTTGGTGTGATCTGCATGGCCCTTTTCCTTGCATAGATGTCCTTATTTGGTGTGTTTGGTACCTGTATCATTTGGGAATCAGTTTATACTGACTGGATTTTCTCCTGCCTTTCTGTGTGTCCGGTAATTACTGTTAATGTGCTGGACATTGTGAATGGCAGCAGGTGATGAAGACACTGAATTCTGTTGTTTTGTGCTGATGCGCATTTGCCTCTTCTCCAGCAGTGGTTCAGCGGCTGGCTGCTCACATTGGACTTGCGTGGGCCCAGCTTCATGCTGTGTTGGGGCAGGTTTGTGGAAAAGCCATCCCAGCCGCATTCACTGTGGTGGCACTGCAACCCCCGCCCCACTCAGACCTTGCCGGGCCCGGCTTCCCACTTTGTTAGATATGTAGAGAAGACCTGGTGCCCAGCCCATCTTTGGCTGTCAGTGTTGACCTCTTGTCCTGCAGCAGCCTCTCTGCTAAGCTTGTCATCTGTGACATACAGAGCCATACAGAGAACATACAGAGACAGCAAACCAGTCTCCACACCACATCTCCCTCCATCCCACCACCTTTAGCCTCACAGTCTCAGCCTTCGCACTGTCCCAGATTTTATCTGTCTCCTCAACTTAATGTGACTATTATATTCTGGCTAGATACTGTCCCCAGGTAGAGAATTCCAGGGCCCCACCCTGCCTGCTCTCCAGAGCCTGTCAACAATTACCTTGTGTGTTTTGTTCACCTTTACGGTTGTTTCCAGCAAGATGACTAGTTAGGCCTCGGACACCTTGTCATAACCACTTTATGAAAGATGTGTCTGTAGAACAGTCACAACTCTTTGAGTGTGAACTGTACCTTTGATCAGTTTTACCTTACTTACTGCTTTGGGTTTGGAACCCAAGTGGCCCTCAGCTCCTCTCACTTGGGTCCTGGCTTATCTGCTGTTTGACCCTTTGAAGTCCTTTCTATGTACCTCAGATTTGGATTTAACTTTGGATGGAATTTAATCATTTAAACCAGAGAATACTTCTAGTTTTCCTGCTTTGGATTTGGGCATTATCATATACAGATATACAAAGCAAATACCAGAAAACCAAGGTCTCACTTCTCAGGTGGAAGAGAAGGAAATGTGAAATGTGCTGAGTTGCTATCATCTGTGGTGGGGTCCGATCATCTCAGATGTGAGGTCAGACAATGAGCAAGCTCTCAGCAGCACCCCATCTTCCTCATCCCCCGCCCATGCTTCTCTTAGTTACATAACTGGTTCTCCGAGCCATAATCCCCATGTCTTGTGCCTAATCCTGTAGGTAAGTAGACTCAGTGCTGTTTGCCAGACCGTTCACTGTAGTTCTCTAGCCATCTCCTTCGAGGCTGGAGTTAATCTTCTTGTTCTTCCAGGAGGACTTACGGGAGCAATATTCTTTCAGCTCTTACATGTTCAAAAATGTTTATCTACTGTTTTCACAGTTGAGTGACAGTTTGGCTGGATATAAAACTCTTGGACCATACTCCCCTTCTGCCTGTATGAGCATTGCCCCCGCTCTCTGCTGGCACACATGTAGCACTGGAACTTTCTGGTGACAGCTTCTACTGTATCCCCATCTGCCATGTCATTTGCTTATTCTTTTTACCTGACTATTGGAAGGTCTCTCTTCACTCTTAGCCCTCATAATTTTAGAGCATATCTTACTATTGAATGCTCTTACAGCCTTTCTTTGGTCTTAGATCCTAAAACTCCTATTTCAATAAATTGAAGTTGCTGTCTGTTGCCCCCCATGTTTTCTCTGGCCCACTGTAACTGTTTGTTCTCACTTGGTTTATTTACTAATCTTCCTGCACTCCCGAACCCCATTCTTACCTCATTCAAGGTCTCCATTGGTGCTCCTATCCCTTTCTGCCAAGTCCCATGGTTATTGGTTTAAGAATAACCTGCTTCATCAGGTTGTATTTTGTTAATTTGTAGCTAAATTGCTCTATGCCATTTCTACTGACTTTCATGGATACTACCATTCATACTTCTGTTTTTCCTTGTGTTTCCTTCCTTCCTTCCTTCCTTCCTTCCTTCCTGCCTTCCCCCCTCCCTTTTTCCTTCCTTCCTTAAGGCAGAATCTCAGTATGTAGCCCTTGCTAGCCTGTAATGCTCTATGTAGATCCTGTCCCTCTTCCTCCAGAGTGCTAGGGTTAAATGCATGAGCCACTATGCCCAGCCTCCTTGTCATCTTTGTGGAGATGAGTCATTGTCTGCAAAGGGTGATGTGGTCCTTTCAGAAGGCACTGAAGACAAAGGACTAACAGAAAGCTTGTTGGCTCAGAGGCAGGCCACTCACAGGAACAGAGCTGTCAAGTGTCCTCAGTGTATAGGATAGGCCAGTGTAACCAAGAGGGCTGCCTTCATTACTATAACAAAGAACCTGAGGCAGGCTAACTTCATAAAGGAATTTTTATTTAGCTTAAAGTTCTAGGAGTTTAAGGTTTGTGTGGCGGCCACATTGGTCTTGCATTTGGCAAAAGCACAGTGGTGAATATACAGAGGACAGACCACATTGCCAGGGAAATGGGGGTTCCATAGCCAGTGAAGAGCACATCTGGATTCCTTCTCCCTCCTGCAGTGCTGTTTCCCTCGCCCTGTACCTTACTCCATTTTCTATTACAACAAAATGCCTAAGACTGCTAAGCCTAGATAGTGTCTAAAGAATAGAAGACAGAGAGCTGGCTCAGTGGTGAAAAATACTAGCTGTTTTTGCAGAGGACCCAAGTTCAATTCTCAGTACCAACATGACAGCTCTGCAACGGTCTGTAACTCCAGGCTCAGGGATTTTGACGCCCTCTTCTGGCCTCTGTGAGCCCTACACACACATAGCTCACAGATAAATATGTACAAGCAAAACATTCAAGTACATAAAATAGAAATTTAAAAATAGAAGTTTATTTGGCTAGTGGTGCTGAAGTCCAGGAGGCTCAAAAGCCTGCATCTGCTGAGTGCCAGTCACAACATGGGGACTATCCCTAGACAAGACAGAACAGGCTGCCAGCTCAGGTCTCCTCCTCTAAGAAAGCCACTAATAGGCCTCATCATTTCACATAGCTCCAGTTCCCTGCCAAATACTCCACCTTAGGTAGCATTAATAGGTGAATTTGTTTCTGACTGTGAATTCTTGAGAGACACATTCAAGGCTGTCCACTCTGCCAACCCCTTCTCTGGGCAGTCCAGGAACCCCTTCCATGTTTCCAGGTCTCATTTGATTCTTGGTGTTATTGTTGATGGAATTTGCATCTTCCCACATGCCACAAATTTCAGTGGAGGCTCCTCTGGGAGAAAGAAGCAGTGACTATACTATGTCCTTCACACTGAGAACTCAGGACCTGGCCTCCCAGGTTCCTCCAAGGCTAGAGTTGTCTAAGCAGCCTGGAGATGGGCACAGCATAGCCTCAGCCTTGTATATGCTTAGGGAAGCCCCTGCTATGACCGTGGGCTTGAGGAGAAGGCCAGATGGACAAGACCTGTGGTAGAGTAGGGCCAGAGAAGGGGTATTTGGGGCCAAGGACTGCAGCAGACCCAAGAGCAACCTAATTCTTCTTCTTGCTCTGCTCTGCCTGCTTATAGGTGTGCAAGACTCATGAACTCACCAATCCTGGGATTGCCCAAGTCACCATCCGGCCAGACCACAAGATCTTAGCCACGGCAGGCTGGGACCATCGCATCCGTGTGTTTCACTGGAGGACAATGAAGCCGCTGGCTGTCCTGGCCTTCCACAGTGCTTCTGTACACTGCGTCGCCTTCGCCACTGACGGCTTGCTCGCTGCAGGGTCTAAGGACCAGCGAATCAGCATCTGGTCACTCTACCCCTGCCCATGACTTAATTGTCGGACACTGCTGTCTTAATCCAGTCTTGGCCCAGTCCGGTGGGAGGTCCTCAAGGGCCTCTGAGGACACCAAATTATGACAAAGGTCTGTGGATCCACTTTCTTCATAAGGTTCTCTGTTCCTTTTGTGACCTGTCATTCAAAAGACAGTACCTGATGATAGACACCTGGCACCTGCAGCTTGGTAAGAGGCATAGCCTGGACCTGGTAGTATGGCCAGCCTGGACCTATCTGACAATAAATTTCCCATTACCAACCCAAAGGCTCAAGGTGGAAACTTCCATGGAGATGTCCCTGTGTTCCCCACTTAGGATGGGAGCGGTCAGATCCCCAAGCAGGCAGTCTGGATGCAGGTTCTCAGGGCTTGGCCTGGGGAGCCTGTCGGTCTCACAGTGGCTGTCTGCCACATCCCCCTGGCTCTTGCCCCAGAAATGTTGAGGAGCTCCTGACATCCAAGGCTGAGGAAAGGATGAAACTGGGCTTCCCAAAGAGGGAGGCGGAATGGGTCGTCAGGGAAGGAGGCGCTAGCCTCTGCCTCCCCGTGAACCTGCAAGAAGCAAGGGAAACAGGCTGAGACAGGCCACAAGCCGGAGTACAGCGCCCAGGGCACAAGCACAATCTTGCGGGACATGGAGCAACAAGGCCTTACTTAGGAGTGAGCGAGCGCCCAAAGCCTCTTTGAGCATGTGGCTGACTGGTGAGCAGTCCCTGAGGGAGTGCTGACTGGGGGAAACCAGACTGAAGGTGAGGATGCAGCTAAGAAGTGAGGATCTCAGGCCTTTCTTCTCCCATCATTGCCAGAAGAGCCTGTGCTCGGAAGACCTGCAGCACCCAGGGCTGCGCCACCAGGCCCTGCTGACCTTAGAGCCCCAATTCTGTTCTGGACCTGCTCTGTGACTAAATATCACACCTTGCCTGCTGAGGCCAGATGTGTCTGTGCCACAGTACAGTCTGGTGTCCCAAAGCCTGGGGCCACCTGTGGGAGGACAGGAAAGGAGTGTGTGGCCCAGGAGAAATGTGTGTGGCAAGAACTATGGCTTGGTGTCGCCATTCCAGGGCCAGAGAAGGCTTAGTTAGATCAGTGGCAAGTTGGCTAAGCACAGTCCAAAAGATGTCCGTACATGGGAAGCTAAGAAACTCAACTGGGAGAGGGAATGACTGGGAGATGGGAATGTGGCCTGCTGCAGGTTGGTTGGGAGGCTGTGCCTTTTGTCCCACACTGAGGGAGGCAGTTGCTGGGGGAACCCAGCATCCTCAGAGGGCTTCACAGCAACTGCACCCCCAGCGTGCAATCTCTAAATGCAATAGGGATCGAAACTGTCCCATGTGTAAAAGGTGTCACTTAGTAGCAAAGGACAGGAGGAAGTGTTTCCTGTAATAGTCTATGAATTAGGAGCCACCTTCAGCAGACTCTGATCAGCAGAGCTCTGTGACGGGTCTGGCTTCCTGGAATCAGCAGAGACAGGGCGGGCCAACTGGATCCACACAGGCAGAAGCTTGTGGACCCAGTGAGTAGTCTGACCCACGTCACCAAAGTCCCTACTAGAGTGCCAGCCAGACTCCCCCAGGGGACCTGCCACCTGTCCCAAGTGTCCTGTCTGTGTTATCCAGTTTAAGTTCTGATACCAAGTCCCTAAGTACCAGGCCCTGAAGCTTTGAACCTCTGAAATCAGAACAAAGCCCCAGACAAAGGTAAACAGGTGGAGGCCTCAGCCCCCCTACCCTTTCCCAGAATTCCTGAGGGAGGGAGAGGAAGGAGGAAAAGAGTTAATATAAATGGATTAATTTAAGAACAATTAATAATTAAAGTTAAGAACAAGCCTAAGATAAGACCAAGCTTTCATAATTAAGAAGTTTTTGTGTCATTTGGGAACTGGCAATACGAAGAAAGTCTGAGAACATATCCATTTTACGGGGGTTATAGAGTATGAGTCACTAGGCTACAGGACAGTGCTTCAGTGACCTCTTTAGGAGAAGTTTCAGTGGAGCCTGAACTTTAACCCCAGCACTCAGGAGACAGGCACGTGGATCTCCCAGTCCCAGGCCAGCTGGGCTATGAAGAAAGACCTGGCCAAAGAAAGTGGGGGAGGGCAGGGTAGGTTGGTTGTAAGAAAATTGGGGAGTCCACCAATTTGGTGGGAAAGACAGTCCAGTTCTTGTCCGTGCCCAAACCAGCCTAGCGGCACTGGGCAGCACCATCCTGTGGAGTGCTCCGGGTGCCCTTTTTAGTTCCCTTTCCCCAGCACCTGTGGAGATGCTCTCCAAGCCTGTGTAGGTCACTATGGCTGCCTCAGGAAGCCTAGCACTGAAGCCTCATCTCACAGCGCTGCTGAACCTCCTTGCCCCTTCCTTGTCACAGACTGGAAGTAGTAGCCAGTGCACAGATGCCATGGGTTTCCTGGGACTCTTCTGTCCGCGGGCTGATGGTTGGATAGCTGCTTCCTCCAAATTGGAACATCTTTCCTGTCTCACAGGACTCATGTCCAAGACTCTCAAGGCTCCTCCCCAAAGCTACAAAAAACGATCAATTACCGGGGAGAGAGAGCACTCACCGGTGCTGGCATGGGTGAGCTCAGCTGCCTTTGAGCCACCAACGCTCCCGCAAGCAACCCCAGTGAAGTCATTGGTTCACTGAGCCAGGCGTGGGTGAGACGGTTTCTTTTCCTATCGTCTGTGTCCAGTGTGGGGTGGATAGATGTTTGTTCATGTCTCCCCAGGAAAAGGCACAAAGAGGGACTAGGACACAGTGCTTTGTCTATACATATGATGCTCTGGGTACCCCATGCTTATTACATGGTCTGCATGATGGGGGCTGTGTGGTTTCTTCCCAGAGCCCAGATGCCTGTTCAGGCAACTTGAGCTGTGTTCTTTCTGTTTCCTTTGAGAGTCGTTTTAAATTGCATCGTCCTGGTTGACTGGGCCATGAGGCCTCCATGAACGTTGTCCCTGTCTCCGGGTAAACAGCAGCTTCCTGTGAGCTGTAGCAAAGGAGTCACAGAATGGAGGTGCCACCCAGAAGGAGCACCTGAAGTTCCATGTGTGCAGTGTGCGTGTTCCCAGAACAAACGGGGGTGGGGTGGGACTGTGGCCTCCAGAGGCAGAGGCATAGCCCCAGACCAGTAGTCAAGGGCATTCAATCCCTTAGACGTTTCCCACATCAGCTGGCCGGTCTGCTGAGAGACACAGATGCCACTCATCTGCCTCCTGGTGGCTGTCCAGCACCTCCTTTTCTATCACGGGAGACTACTCACAGCCAAAGAAAATTAGTGCAGGAAATAGTGGCCACATTTCTTGTGCTCAGTGCTGATTCTGGGTTGGTGTATTCAGTCATCACACCCTTTCCATTTTGTTTTTCTTTGTAGCCCAGGCTGTCCTGGAACTATCCCTCTGTCTCTGCCTCCTGTGTGAAATTACCTATCTGCCTCCATACCCATGAAAAAGAAACTTGTAACTCTTTCTCGGGGCTATAAAGTCATTATTTTCTGTAGCCTTGACCAGCCATAAAATCTTTCCCCTGCAGTGTTTCTGAACCAAGGCCATTTCTGTTTCTAGACCTCAGTTATTAACTCCTTGTAAACTGCACAATTTCAGGACCCAACATTTTTACACATAAAAAACAGGTGTAGTCAGGTAATGCTGGTGCACACCTTTAATCCCAGCACTTAGGCAGCGGCAGGTGGATCTCTGTGAGTTCAAGATCAGCCTGGTCTACAGAGTGAGTTCCAGGACAGCTAAGGCTATACAGAGAAACCCTGTCTTGAAAAACAAAACAACAAAAACCAGTTAGTTGGATGAACTTTTGAGTCTTCAGGGTACATCCCCATATCAGAAAACTGATGTCAGGAATCTGTGCAGAGAATTAATCATTGTCCTAGGTTATCAGCCAGACCTAGTAGTAAGGAAACTGCACGCAGCGGTTAGGTAGCTTCACACTTTAAACCCTAGCCCAACAAACCAGACAGCTTAGCTATATGTCCATAAGACAACACAGCTTGAGGAGGAGTCGTTTTCCTGATAATCCACAGGTAAAAATGTCCAGTAGATCAGGATGCATTCGTGAATAAACACATAGGATACAGGCAGTGGGGGACTCCCCACAGTCACCAGGGAAAGACTGCAACACCATGCGTGAAGTTACAACAGAAGAAAAGATTCCAGAGTCTGTAGCCTTGTGACCATGTTTAACAAGGTTTCCCCATCAGTTTTCCTCCTGGTGGGCTAGCATCTTGAGTATTACCATCTGCCACACCTCTGACATGACTCCTGGCACTTTCCATTTAGTTTTTCTGTGTAGCCCAGGCTGCCCTGGAACTCTATCCTTCTGTCTCTGCCTCCTGAGTGTGAGATTACCCATCTGCCTCCATACCAAACTTCCACAATGTGGAAGTTGGTCTCCCTAGTCAGGAGCACAGGCCTGAGATGATTGTCCTTAGCATTTCAAGGGGGCAGTCAGGTGACAGAAGGCTGGTTCCTTACCTAATCCTAACAGATCCTGTGGCTGCCGAGCAGGTTTCTGGACTCCAGAGGGGCTGCCCCACGTTCCCTCTATCTGGCAAATAGTGTAACCTTAGGACTGTTTGCTTGGTAACTTTGGTAGCAGCTGTTGTCTGCGAGCTCCACCAGGGATACCTAACAGCTCTGCTGCCGCATCTGACGGGGTACACTCACAGGACTCAAGCCCTGGCTTCGCGGCGTGGCCGCCTGAGTAGATGCTGCCTTGGACCTCTCTGTGCCCACCCTCTCCTGCCTCAGCGCTGCTCTGTGAAACGGAGTCAGTTGCCATCCAGCCCACGGGTAATCAGCACCTACTTAGCCCAATGCTGCTGGCTGGGGCCCTCTGGGACAAGTGACCCTGGTAGTACCTGTCTCTTTGTTCCCTGGATAACTTAGTGTGCCGCCTAGTTGTTTTTTATTTTGTTTTGTTTGCCAGCTTGACACGACTAGGGTCATTTGGGAAGACTTTTTAAACTGAGAAAATGAGTTTATAAGGCAAATCTGCCTGGCATTTCCTTGATTAATGATTGATTCAGGTGGTGCAACTCTGGGCAGGTGGTCCTGAGCTGAATAAAGAAGCAGGCTGAGCAAGCCATGAGGAGCAAGCCAGTGAGCAGCCTCCTCCTGGCCTCCACTTCAGCTCCTGCCTCCAGGTTCCTGCCTTGAGTTCCCACCCTAAGCCTCAGTGATGGAGTGTGACCTGAGAGTTGAAAGATGAAATAAACCCTTTCCTCCCCAAGCTGCTTTTGGTCATGGTGTTTTAGCCAA